GAATTTGGGTGAAACATATTCTCTCACTTTCTACATAGAGGCCGGCCACTTAGGGGAGGAACATCTAGCAATCTATTCTTCCCTAAGTCATCCATTTCATCTTCACACTACATCTTTGGTGTGGAGACTTAGAGACACCAAACCTTTGGTGTTTTGGAGAACAAATCCTCAAATCCTCAAAGAAGAAAAGAAGCACTAAAAGGGAGGAAATCACAAGGAAGATCCAAGGAGCAAGGAGGTGACTTGAAGGCCCTCCACTTGGGTGAATCCCTTGTGCAATCAAGGATGAGCTTCAAGGGTAAAGAATCTCTAAATTCTTATTCTCTTTAATATTGTTAAAGAGTCTTATGGTTCATCATATACTAGGCTTTGAAAGTCATGGGTTTTATGAATTGTTTTTGGATGCATGCCTACTTTAATTTGTTAATAGTTTGCCTATGTATTCAAATGTTCTTTACATGTTCTTAGCTAGGACATAAATTTTCCTTCACTCGGGCCTGCTTGCCTTGGGCATAGGCCCATGTAGGCTGGAGTGGCATTAGGCACTGTTGCCTTGGGCCTGCAGCCGCCTAGTTTTGGGCCTGCTTCTCCTAGGCTTGCTAGGGCCTAACATTTTGGGCTGCTTAGAAAAAAACATTGGGCTTGTGCCTGGTGGTGCTGGCCTGGGTCTGTTGCTGCGAAGTGGCGCAAACCTAGGCTTGCTGCTACATGGCTGCCTGCTCACCGTAGGCATAGGGCTCGCCAAAGGCTGCGATGGATGGTTGCTGTTGTGGTGGCTGCCACGATGGTGCCCCGTGAGGGTGGTGCCACTCTACTAGCCATTGTGTTAAGCCTCGTGGATCATCTTAGTGGGGCTATGCTTCAATCTCCATTGCTTGGTCCAAATCCTTGAACGTAGGAAGTTCCGTTCGTTGTGGTTTCTGAATTTCTAGTCATTGTACTTTTATTTTATGCTTATTCAAAGAACTTTATAAAAAAATAAAATAAAATAAAATAAAAATTCTAGGAATAAGAACGTACAAAAAATCTAGAAATGAACGAAAAATGGGAAACTTTGAATGCGAGAGTTTTCTTCAAGCGTGTGAATCAAACTCTCAATGAAAGTACCAATTTCTGGAGGAAAATTTCCACCCTTATGCACCCATCATGAATTTAGGGGGGCAGGGGCGGAGGCTTTGGCCGAAGAATCTCCGATGCCAAAGTTAGAATTTGAGAAAGAGTGTTTAGGATTTTTTGGGGAGAGAATGGCCTAGCATTTTAGTGGGAAACATGGCTATTTATAGAGGAGTGACCGGCCCTATTTGGAGAATAGGGGCCGGCCATATATGGTCAAATTGTGAGTGTAATTGCAAAATATTATGTGAAATAATATCTTGCAATTAACTTGGCAATTAATCCCAAATTGAATAGGAAAATTGAGAGTTGCATTTTGAGTGAGGATTTGCTGAGGAGTGATGAGAGGGTTTTGAATAAATACCATTTTGATCACCTTTGACTCTTCCTTGATTGAGCCGTTATTGTCTGTTGCATGCGCATGGGAATTCTAGTATGCCTCGAGAGTAATTTTGTCCTTTTAACCCAAATGTACACGTGTCACCACCATAATTTTCTTGATTATTTTTTGCTCCACACATGATACATTTTTATGACTCGGGGTTGTTTTTGATTGAAAAGGCTATCATTTGATTGTTATCGTTGTTTGTAATCATTCAACAAGGATCTAAAAAATAAACACATCATGAGACCACATTACAAGGTATCCCCCAATAAATTTGGTACAATTACTATTATTATTATTATTATTATTATTTTGAACAAACAATATTATCTACACTTAAGGAAAGGGGTGGGCTTAGCTTCACAATGGGTTAGCAATAATGTGGTTCCAAATCGCCTTTGGTGAGAATAACATAAAACCTCTCATTTACAAGTGAAGAGGAATATCACTAGACCGTAGTACTAAGGGGCTATGTTTAGCCCCGTCTGGAGTTATAACCCTGTAAGAAATTATTTTCAAATAAACAGTGTCATGCCATATTTATATATCATCTCCAACTGAATAGGCTATTTTTTAGCTCCCTCAATAATTTATTATTTTTAAGTTTGTTCTTTATTGGTTAATTGAATTAAACTACCATATTAAAATAAGTTTATCTAGACATTTTGAGCTTCACTTGTCGCTAATTCAATAAGGCTATCCAGACATATTTTGAGTGCCATTTGAAAAAATATTGAAAATTTTAAATTTAAATTATTAGAAGACGTAAGAGAGGGGTGTATATGAAGAGTGTTTGAGATGAATAGAATGTGTAAAGAATTGGATTAAAATGAGGTAAGATAGTATGAAATGGTGGAAAAAGATGTGAGAAATAGTGTACAAATAGCTTAGGTATTTATAAGAAAAAAAAAATTAGAATTTTTTTTTTTTTTTTTAATTTCATCCTAAAAACAAAAACAAACCCCGCCAAGCTGTTAGGTGGGTTCAAGATACCTAGCCCGATAGCCAAAAGGCTCTAATTTCGCTTGATGAGATCCACTTAGTTTTCAGGCAGCTCTCCACTGGAGTTGGATTTTGTAAAAAAGGGGCTAAAAATTGGCCCAAGGCCTAAGTTGCACAATGAACTTTATTTTTTTCTGATCCGCTTTATTGAGCAATGAAATAAAAGGGCAACCACAAAAAATGAACGAAATTCTTACATAGAACTGAGGGAGTGAGTGAGTGTGTGTTGGAGTGAGAGAGGGCAGAGGAATACCTGGTAGGATGGTACTAGAAAAATGAACCGAGATAATGCCAAATGCTGAGTAGGGTTTAAGCCCAGACAAATAAATAAAAAACACCATACAGTCCTGCATTTTACTTTGAATCGGACCAACCATCCAGTCCAAGGTAATGCCATGCACCCTTGGATTGGATATGAAATCATACAATACTCATGTTTGAAGTAAAAAGCCATAATATGTGATGGGAATGCACCACCTAAGTGAGAGCGAACAGCCCTTTTGCCACAGTTAGTATATTACTTCATATTAAACCTACATCAAAGGCAAAACCCCACTGGGTGCATGTCACTGTCTCTACAAAAGAAACATAACAGAGACTGACCGACGCTTTCAGTACTAGAGCTAAAATCACGCACTTTTGAGCCTGCCCATCAATCACTACCTGCATCTCTATACACAGTTTACTCTAACTAACGTTAAGTGATCTTGCATTCTCTGCACCCTTGCCCAATTCCATTAGTTCTTTGAAGCATTCCCTACCAGAAGGTTCAATATCAACTTTGGGACTCTCTCCCTTTGATAAGGTCATAGTCACAGGTGTCAGCTGTGCAGCCAATTCACCAGCAGATATTTGGCCATTATCCTTCAATTCGTCATTTTCCTTGGCTTGATCGCCCACACTTTCATCAATAACTTTATGCTCACCTTCTGTGGCGGAGTCAATACCAGCATTCATATCGGCCTCCAATTCACCAACAGAAATTTGGCCATTGTCCTTTAATCCGTCGTTTTCCTTTGCCTTATCATCCTCACGTTCAATAACTTTATGCTCGCCTGCTGTGGCAGAGTCAATACCAGTCTTCATATCCGCCTCCAATTTACCAGCAGATATTTGGTCATCATCCATCAATCTGTCACTTTCCTTGGCTTGATCACCGTCATCAATAATTTTATTCCCACCTAGTACAGAACAGTCTGCAGATTTACTTCCAGCTGAGTCTCCACGTCTAGATATCCTTCAAACAAAGTTTCAGTTCAAGACCAATAGAAAATAACAGTTCATTACAATATGAAAGCAACCAACCCACTCCGCAAGCTTCTTAATTGGATGTTCATGTGGCATCCTCAAAGCAGATCTAAGAGTAGGTGAAAGAGGAAGAAAGTACACAAATCCAACCTTTTTGAGGGCAGACCAGCGTGCATTTGTTTTGATGGCTCTGATTTTGGCTTCCGTTTTCTCTTTTGTGGGGATCTGATAAAAAAGCACAACCAAATGATAAATAAGATGATTAAGATCAGAGAGGCATGCACATGGAAGCGGCCAAAGTGTGCTAGGCGAGGCAATTAGGATATCAACCATTCGGTAGTGTAAAGACTTTGACTGTATAGAATTAAAGTTGTGGTTAATTTGTTTTTCCATTGCTAGAGTACTTTTTAAAAGCCTATTGCCTTGATCCTTTGGTTTGAACATTCTACTCTTTAAGTAGTGCATTATTAGGTTAACCACTAAAAGAAAGCTCAAACGGAAACAAATTTTACACCGAAAATATATTCAAAATTCTAGCAATTACGGGAGCTCATTACTGTCATGTTATTGTGACAAATATTCAAGATAACCTTTTTCCATGTAGTCGTGCAAAATGCAAAGAACATCGAATGTTTGTCCAGAACATAACAAGAGAACTTCAGGAGTAATGATGACTAGAAGGATTGGTTGTGCTTCCCTTAATTCTCTAAAGTGGCCAAAAATAATCGATTTTGCAAACACCATTTAACCATAAAAGACGAACACTTGTCAGAGGCACAAACGACTAAATTTTCTATTAAGTTTACAGATATTATTTAGAGAATAAAACTTACGTATCAGAAGCAGCATCTGGTTTTAGCAGATTCTCCATTTTGACCTGTTGAAGAGAAAGAAAAATTATGCAGGATAATTCATTAGGGAATAAGTTTAACACCAATGATCAAAATATGAATAACAAAAAAGTTCAATTTAAGACACAACACATACATCTGGCAAACCATCTCCAATCAGTTTCCAGCACTGCTTTTTGAGGTTCAGATTTTCTTCATCCCCATCAGTATACAACACCTGTGCAAGTAGTCAAACAAAAAACTATGCATCATGCAAAGAAAATTTTGAAAGGAACTGAAGTTATCATGGCAGATGTCAGGCTAGATGACCAGATCATGCTCCAAGTTGATGTTATGACGAATAGTCAAATACTATAAGAGGGCCAAGGAGGTCATGCCTAGAACTCAAGGACTCTAGTATTGGGAGATCTTCAGTCTAGCATTTCATCTTTGTGATACACAAAAGAAGACAGACAATATAGCATGAAGGCCATAAATCCAACTCACCAAGTGCTTCTTTTTGGCAGGGTCGTAAGAAGAAACAACACCTTCATAAAACCTGCAGAGACAGAATTTTCAGGCAAGAAAATAATCATTTGGGGCTTAAAACTCCACCGTCACAGACTTTAGTGGGGCCATATAAAAAGGGAATAGACAAATGGCATGAAGAATAAAGCATTAACCCAGGGGTGTTTTGAATCTTCTAGCAGCTTGGGAAGCCAGAAATTTCACCTATACCTTTTGAAGATCAGAACTGGAAACAAAATAACACATGAAGACCTCCTGCAAGTCATGGCCAAAATACTGACTTCTTGCGTTGGGTCAAGAGCAGAGATATGGTTTCCCCGGCAAACAATACAAATCCAAAATTCAGTGCCAAAAAATCACATTCACCATTTTTTACACCCCAAAAGGTCCTGTTGTATGACATATATCACTATATCAACCTTCTCCTTTATTCAAGAAAAAAAACCCATTCAGAATAATTTCAGTTGACAGTCCTAAATTACCATTAAAATATAATTTGCAATCCCTTTTTTCATTTTGGAAGAATCCAACATAACTTGATCCAAGCATTGTCTCATAATCCATCACTGATGCATATACTGCATTTTCAAGCCATGCCCACAATTTCACCAAAATGTAAACTGCCACCCAATTGCCTTTCTCTGTTTCCCGGACTGGGTTTCACACCTACTAAAGAGTTTACATCAATTTTTATCTTATGTTAACTGTAAATTCATCTTGTATAAAATTTCACAGCTGAGCCCTCACATGGTTCTGCAAAAGCCTAACTAGAGTATTTATAAAACTAAAAACAAAATGGCGAGTTCCCTCTTGAGCTAAGCATACCCAATTATAATATGCACAAGCATAATTCATCAGTGTCTACCCAAATCCACTAAATGTCATGGATCCTTATAATTATAGCAAAATATTCTTGGATACGCAATGTTTCCAAGTCCTAAAGGCACTACTGATCAATAAAAACTATCAAACATAGAAACATGAAAACCACTGACGGTATAAGATGCAAGTAAATATTGACTAATTACAAATATATCATGTCATTTTTATCATCAATTCTGCAATACTCACTTTTTATCCTGTGGCCACCAAACCTTTATTCTTCTGTCAACCAACCGTTCACCAAGATCAGGCATTTGAGAGGCCTAGATTGGAAAAGTTAAATTTACAATAATTAAAAACAAAAAATTATAAAATATATCAGTAAATGAATAGATGAACGAGGATACATGTTAACTTTGGAGGATACCCAAGTTCAAAAAGTACACCATGGTCCCAAATCCAATGTGAGCTCCTTAAGATATTAAATCTCCAGTTGAAAATTGAAACCCACAGAGGCTGCCCCTACCTCACTGTTTCTGCTCTTTTAAAGGCCCATTAAAGGAGTAAGAAATGCGGAATAACAGTATAAGACGCAACACCTTATTCCAATGCATCGGCCTTGCTATTAGTTTAATACTTTCTTTATCATCAACGAAAAGAAAGCATGGATCATCAATATAGTGTCACTACTTAACTCAAATATCCCAGATTTCAGAACTTTATTGTTGGACAGAAAACCACTAATCCATTATTGTTGGACTGAATATTCGGACATACAAAGATCAAATTGAACAGAAACAGCATTTTATTTGAGAACACATTTTATGCATGGGTCATTGAGAACACCTTTTACATTTTAACCACTGAGATTTTACTCGGTTTATATCGTGTGTAATCCAATAACAGTGTTAATATTGTTCATTGCACTACTTCATCTACAAGATGATGCTAATAGGGTCATCTAGATTGAAATAATAAAGTTGGGGCCAATACAGTATACAGCCAACCTATATTACTCGGAAAATGGTCCAAAGTGATAAAGGTTAATAGTTGAGTTGAATGACCAAAGAGAAAAAAACAATAACAAAGGTATACCTTTTTTTCAAAAGAGAAAAAAATACAAGTATGATTTAGCACCAAAGCATAACTAAGTAGACTTTAAACTGGAAATGAAGTTAAGAATCCTTACCTCTTCCTTTTCAATGAAATGCTTCCTCTTGAGAACCACTTTAGGGGTTCCTTCATTATCTTTATTCATTTTTTTGGCAGACTTGGAAATCTTTTGCAAAAGTGGACAATTGCAGATGGGAGACCCGGCCAAATAATAGAAGACAAGTAAAAGTCATTACAGGTGACAACTTAAAATTTCATTATCTATTCTTTTTTGCATAATTGTCAGAGAAAGTACCTTGCTACCAGATGCTTCAGTACTCTCCTTTCTAGAAGTACCATTCCCCTTATATTTATAAATAACCTGACGGACGGATGATTGATCAGTGGTACTCTTCGTTTCTACGTCCAAAGACAAGCTTTGATGTGATTTTTTACCAGGATCAATGGGAACCTCAGATTCCTTATCTGTGACCACATTTACAGAAGAAAGAGTGCAGCCCCCATTTGTTTTTTCAGCAAGTCTAATATCTCTAAGCTGCTCCCGTAGTCTTTCTCCTATGTTAACAGTCCCCTTATATTTCTTTCTCAGCTTGGGCTTTTCTTCTTGTGGAGTTCTCTCCTCAACTTGAGCAAGCTCTTGCTTCACAGCTGAAAGGGAACTAGGATTAGCAGCATGGTCTGCTACAACTTTCTTCTTCGGCCAGCCCTTTCTGTGTTGGGATCCACCAAGAGGATTGTTCAGAACAAACCGAAAAGCCCCAATATCCCTTTCAGTTTTAGGTTGGGAACCAGGTCGCTCCCTAGCACTTTGAAGTATCAAGGGCACATCTGCTTTTACACAAAGACAATCTTTTGTACGTGAAGGATTAGACCCCCTGTAATCAGACTTACTGCTGGAAGATGGTTTCTGAGTTTTTCTCCCACAACTTATCCAAGAATGGTCATAGCCTTGTGCCGGATTCATTGAAGAATTTGGCTTCCTGCCTCTCCTTTTGGCGGCTGGGGATGGCTCAATTTCTGATTTAAGAATGTTCAGAGAGAGTGAATTGTTGGGTTGAGCATTGTCATACCCTTCCTTTGGATCCTTCAAAAAGTTTGACTTCTGGACTCTCTTCTTGAGAGCCAAGCATGGCTCAGTTGCTGATTTGACAGCTTTTGAAGAGGAGTTGTCTGGTTTAGCACTATCTCTTGAATCAATAACCTTGGAGGGTTTAGTATGATGGCAATGCCGTAATCTTGCAGTAGAATTTTTATGTCTGACGTGTTCATCCCCAGTAGAAGCAGCTACAGTCTTTTCAACTTCTCTAGGACAATAAGCACTGGGCTTAGGCCCCTCGGTCACCTGGATAATGAAGAAGTTTTCCTAGACGGGTGTAATATCAAATGAAAATGAAAAAAAGAAAGGAACAAAAGAGGAGAAGAATGGACATAACAGTAACATACATGAGCAAATCATTCAGAACTTCCTAATTCACATACAAGCACACACATGCACAAAGACTCATGTCATAAGCCAGATGAAACAACTTTCCTCCCAATAATTCTTCCTGACATGCCATGTAATTTAAGCAAAGCAATGCTATTCCAATTTCTCTAACAATCTCTACATAGAATGTAGCATAGCTAGGTACACAAAAAGAGGGGGAATTGACTTGTTATTAATTTTTCCCCGATGTCATGTTGATTTCATAAATCTGGGGTACTGGCTGGCATCTTCAATTCAGTGTAATCCTATACATCCACATTAATCTCTTATTTATTATTGTCATACAGAACATTTTTAACACTACTCAAACAGTAGACACCATTGTGCACGAAAAAGAATATGGATACTGAACACTGGGAGACAACAGGCCTTCCCATTAGAAAGAATTTGATAATATGATTACCTCACAGAGAGAGAGAGAGAGAGAGAGAGAGAGGGAGGGAGGGAGGGAGGGAAGGAGAGATTTCATTCTTCTCTTAGTTAGCAAGAGAAGTTCTGCTTTCAATTCGCCGAAAGAAAACATAAAAAAAAAAAAAAAGAAAAAATAAGGGAACAAGAGAAGAACAGAGATTCAGCAAACACAAACACAAAAACAAAAAAGAAAAAAGAAAAAAACAAACAAATCTATATGCCGGTTTGAATAACTTCCACTAAACAGGCAAGCCTGTAAACAGTATCACCAGTTTGGCTTACCAGATTCTTCGCAGAATCATTGACTTGATTATGTTTGACAGCATCAGATCCATTCTGGCACACAGAAGCCACTATTTGAGTGTAATCGTCCAAAGCGACGTCCATGGACTTCACTGCTTCCACGAGATAAGGTTTAAGCTTAGCTGAAGAATTGTCTATAACTTTCTCCCCCAATTTCCAAGAAAATGGTGAAACGGTCTGAAACAGTAACAGGCCTCTTATATAAAGAAGAATGAATTATAAAAAAAATAAATTAAAAATAAATAAAAAGAAAAGAACAAAACAAACAAAACAAGATGTAAAGGAGAAGATTATGACCTGATTTTCCTTTCTAACACTAGATAGAAGAGCTTTGAGAAGATCCACAGGAATTTCTTCACTCTCATCTAAAACCATGGTCATAATAGTTTCCATGGCTGAAAATACAGAATGCGGATGATTGAACCTTAACAGTAAGAAGGAGAAGGCATAAGTTATCATTAAAATCAATATTTGAGATGGAAGACAAGGCTTCAAGTTATCATTAAAATCAATACACACCACACACAGAGAGATTGTCTATTCTATAACTTATTGTTTATACGGATAAGTTATAAAGAAAATAATAAATTGAACCCCACAGATACAATGACTGTCTATTTTTTAACTTCGTAAACTTGCTCTCTCATTAGGACTAAACAAAGAAGACCCTGTTTATTTCCTCCACAATCATGTCTTCTGGGAAAAGATTCAGGTGAGAATACTCAGCAATATTATTTAATTTTTCTCTTTCACTTTGAAAATTTGGTGTAGATCTGCTTTGATGGTGTGGGTTTGATGTAAAAAGTAAAAATGGTTATTCTTTGTTAGCAGGTTTGGGTTGAGGGAAACAAGAAGGCTCTGGGATAAAGTTCAGTTTTGGGCTCTCTGGACTTCTGTCTCTAAGGGTTTAGGATTATTTCTTTCTCTTATATTTGGTGGGACTGAAAGTCTGTAGTGCTATAGTATTTTTAGACTGGTTTTAGGCTGGTTCTCTTTCTCTCCTGCTTTTTTCTCTTCTTTTAGTGGTCTTCTTGGCTACTTTCTTTTGCCCTTTGTTTTCTAGTCAGATGAGAGGAATAGATTCAAAATGGACCTTTGAGAGCAGAATATCAACAAGAGAAATTGTAAAGATGACGATCTGATGAGTGAAATTGTCTAAATTCATTACACAATCGAATTCTATGAATCAAGTTTTCAGTTATGTTTTTTTCTTATTCGCTCTTCTTGGAGTGCAGATGGGAAACCCTACATATCTCTGCCTCAAACTCTTAAGAATTTAAAGTATGAATAAATTTTCCAAGAAAAAGAAAGTGGATTATTCACTCTCAAATTCAGTGCACATACACTCTGAAGAAACAAACTCATCAATACTTTGTAGATGTATAAAACATACAGTTTCACTCTCGATAACTATGATTAGCTAACAGTGTTTTGAAGGAAAGTAAACCCAGTATTGAGTGAAAATTCTGCCCCACTTCAGCATAGCATGCTTGTGATACAAACATATAAAGACAAGAAACCTCTACAATTCCATTCAAACACTTGCCTAACTATTAAGAAGAAATGGAGCAGTACAGTTTTACTCATGCCATGCACAGTATAAAAATTTGTGACAACAAAATTCCTATGCTCATGATACAAACAAATTTCATATTTCAATTCAACGACAAATCACTTTCCGCACAGAACTGAGTGCAATGGTGTTCTAGGATTCATATAGCCGACCCCACTTAGGGGAATAAGGCTTTGTTGTTGTTGTAACGACAAAGCACTTTCCAGCAAAGCACCATCAGAAGTCAAAAAGTAATAAACAGCATGAATAAAGCTCTTACTGGGTTATTTTAAGGAAATGTTGGAACATCTCAATAATTAATGCACTGCAACCAAGGTCCAGCATCAGCAAGCTTGACCTAACCTTTGCAACAATGTGAAGAATGGAAACTGCCTTTCTATAAAAGGGACTGGAAACATATGAAAGCTTCTCAAAACCTGCTACAGTCAGCTGAAAGATTTCCTGTTCAACCAATAAATGAGAAATGAAGTCCTAAGAGCCCATAAAATTAAAATATAAGCATTGGAGGATGCAAGATGTAGGACTTCAAAATGATTAATGATTACTTCAGATCCTAGACAGTTTACTGGAGCTGTTATACCTTCATCCATTCATCGTTGTATGGAGGAACTGGTGCTGTTATTCTCATAAGCTCAGTAATGCAAGAAGCAACATATAGCTTCACATCCATATCTGAATGCCTAAATAGCTCATCAGAAATCAATGCCTTCATTATTGGTAGAAGTGCATCTTGCATGGATCTGAGTGGTGCTTGCTCAACATTTGACAACAAACCCTCAGCTTCCTAAAATATAAAAAGAAACAGAGGATCTCAGGTTTTCGCAATCTTTAAAGACCTAAAGAAAAAAAAAAGTGAGATATAAGCTATAGCTATGCTTAACACAGCTTGAAACATTGTGTATCACAACAGACTAGAATTTCTGATGAGTTTCAACAAAACATATTCATAGAGATAGTTTTAACGACTACGCAACTAATGAGAACAAATCATAAATAGATTTATGCATATCATCAAGACAGAATAATCAACTACTGCATTTGTAATCATCTAGTAACATCCGTGAAAGAGCAAGGTGAACAAGAGCCTGATATTTGCATCTATTATGATACTTGAACCACCACAAGAATCAGCAATATCACTACAGTAACATCCTTAGCTACGAGCCATTATCCATGAAGAAACCACTTCCATCTTCCAGTTCTCACTGGCTATTTCTTGGCCAGCATTTCCCTTTCTAGAGAAAATAGGAGTCCAAGAAATAAGCCATATGTGAGCAATATGATTTAATGCAGACGAAAATACTAAAGAGCAATACCAACTGAATGGCATTGAAGATCAACTTTATCTAATTTAAGCAAATGACAGTCCCATGCCATAGTTGTTGGAAGTTGGGGAAAAGTGTATATCGAGTTGAAAACAGGTTAAATGCCTCTCACACGCAAGCCAGTCCAAAACAGGGCAGCCTGCTGCGACTGTTTCCAGGGAGACGGCTTTCACAGCTTGAACCTGACAACCACTAGATCACATGGCCAAGCCAAATTGATGCTCTAAGATAAACACTCAATGGAGGTGAGTCTAATTACCCAAAATATGCAGGGCCTTGTGAAACTAAAGAGACAATAAAAAAATCACAGATAATCATGTCTAAGACCAGACAAACAAACAGGCTCTAACAAAGAGGAAAGATCATCAATGAGTTTAAGCCTTTGGAACTATACCCTTATCAAGTAAACTAGCAAGCCTTGCAATTGGACCTATCAATAACTCAGTATGATTTTATTTAAGCACCATGCTGAAGGTTCAAGAACCTACACCCCATGCGCGTGCGCGCACACACACACAACATCTTTTAACAAGCAACAGTATACATTCAATATCTTCTGATAAGCAACAATGCGAATCAAATATTCAAATATGAAAAATCATAGCCAACAAACAGCTCACATCTGGTTTAATGTATAATTGTCAAGCCATTCAACACATACACACACATCACCTTTTAATAAGCAACAGTATACATCAAAACATTTAAAAATCGTATGCCAGGAAATTGCTCACAATCGGTCATAAATTCATAATCCATAAGCTAATCAGCTAATTAAACATTATATGCAAAAATTGGGAAATAAAAGTCATCTGTTCATTTAAAACACAATACTGACTGGAGCAAACAATCATCAACAAGAAACCGAAACAACATTAAAAGGCCAGACTTTTTGGTAAAAATTCGGCAAAAATAAGCCCCCATTTAAGCCCGACTCCAAAGAATTCAGAAAATGATGATCAACCCATCTCAAGCCATCACTCATTTGTATTCTAATGTTTTCAATTAGCACAAAAGAGACCCAAATACACACACAGAAACCAACAACACACCAACAATCACTAATTCAACAAAATGATGATCAACCCACTTCAGCATTTCGGTGAATTCATCAAACCGAACAAAGAAAATGAGCTCAGTAAACATGCATATGAACATATATGTGTGTATCTATCTGTGTGTTTGTCTAAACAATAAAATACAACACAGAGAGAGGGTCTCAGGGCGGCATTACGCCAAGGATTTTGAGAAGCTCGTCGGTAGCAAAAGGAGGGTTGAGGAGAGTATTTCCAGCCTCCTTGAGCTGCTGCTCCACCTCTTTCTCAGAGGAACAAGACATTGCGACAACAACCCAGAATTACAGCGGAAGCTGAAAGACCATTAATCTATATCTCCCCAAAAACGATAAGGAGACAAAGATACCAACTCAGAAAACAAACAGCCAAGTTTTAGGGATTTAAGCCCATGTGTTCGGGCATGCAAACACAAGGTACAAATGGGGGCTGTTCCGCTACACTCTCTCTCTCTCTCTCTCTCTCTCTCTCTCTCTCTCTCTCTCTCTCTCTAGTTTACTGTACTGGGTATTTTTTGGGTATTGCCTCTCACGCCATCTGAATGTGCATATTGGCGCTTTAATGCTCGTTCTTTGATTGCTGGCCTAAAGTAAAAGAGTGCCATTTTTGGCCAAATTACAACTTTGCCCTTGTAATGTTTGAATTTGGAGGGGCAATGGTGGATGATAATTTGCTTGTATTGCATGGGCTACTAAAATTCTTGTAGCACCAATTTTAGGTGAAATAAGTCGCATGCTATATGCTACACATCGAATTTCAACGATCCGGATCGTCTATTTTTTAAGAGTGTCCATTATTATAGAAAAATAATTTATTCAGAGACAGAAACCTCTACCGCTACCAGTTTCATAACAATCAGAGAGAAAAGCATTTCTAGTTAGCAGGCAGAGTTTAAAGTTGTATAATTTGATAATTTTTTAATTTATGTCAAAAATAGTATTTGGATGACCAATTTGGTAGAATGCGTATAACAACACATGCCAAATTATTATTACTATTAATCTCACTACGCCCACTAATGCACACGAGAAAGGTAATTTTTTAATCACGAGAGCTAAGTGCAATTTATAAATTTTTATTCGATTTTAGACATTGATATGTCAACATTATGCAAAAGTATTCTCCAAATGGTTATCGCAATCACCATGTTTGGCTAGAACGACAACAAATTCATAAAAATGACAACTCTTAATCCCTATTCAGCCAAGTTACACAATGATATCATTCTTTGTCAATTTGATTTTTTATTCTCTACCTTCTTGTCATCTTAGGGTGTGTTTGTTTGGACTCACTTCTTTTATTGGACTGGATTGGACTAATTATTAATCTAATCGCGTGTTTGTTAGGCAGCTAGATTATGTTTAATGGGATTACCCACGACTCACTCAAACTCAACCCCTCGCTAGAAGTTCTTAGCAAAACCCCCACCCCCCCCCCCACCCCCCCCCCCCCCCGAAAAAAAAAAATCACAAGAAGAGCATCTCCAAATGAGATGTCAAAAAGTCCACATCAGCAATAGCGTTAAAAAAAAGAGCCAACAATGGTGTTTTCCAACCGAAATGTTAATTCCTAAGTAGCATGACATGGAATGGCAACAGAGGGAGTTTGACACACCCCGACCCAGAAAGTCCAATTGGACCCTGAATCGAGCTGTGCTGACCGACACCTGGAAGGTGACGAAGCCATAAAATGTGATAGAGTGTAGAAAAAAGTGAATAAATTTGAATCTAAAAGTGTCAAAGTACCAGAGTGCGCTATGAGTGGGAGCGAACCCATATCACACGCGATGTCAAAGCATAGGTAAGGTACAGTAGTGCGGGTAAGAATCATACCCTCACAATTATCCATCAATACTAAGATTCGCCACAGATTCTTGTCGATACAAACTCAGTAGCTAAAACCTGGAGGGCACCAAACAGAAGGTGTGAGTAAACAATAAAACCAAACTTCCCAAAGTTATTACCTCTCTAAAAGTAATGCCCCTAATTGTAAAACCCGTATCGTTTTCCATAAGACAGTACAACATATATACATATATCCAAACCATACTCAGAAATGACCAAAACCACGGTTTGCCATCAACTCCACCATACATTAATAAGTAGGTCAAATGAACTAAATCAATACAAAGTGATATATCAGTCAGAGTCATCTAAAATGACGTGTACAACTTATCCATATCTCATCAATCATGGCTAGCATATAAGTCGGAGTCACCTATAGTGACCTGTACGACTTATCCATATCTCATCAATCCTGGCTAGCCAATAGCTCAATAAGTATACCTGCACACGAGTCGGAACCACCTAAAGTGGTATGTACGACAGGACTGGTTGTAAATAAATACGCTCAAGTGCTACGATCACGTGAAGACTGGGCGAATAATTGCGAGTCACCTACGAGTCGGAACCACCTAAAGTGGTCTGTACGACAGGACTGTGCACCTACCTTGAATCCAAGGTGAACGTAAGGTGTGGGAAGTGAACATCACGTGAAGGACTGTGCCCTGGTCACGGGCGGGAGCACTAACACCGGGGTGCAGGTTTATGAGCTATACTATGTCTCAACACAATCGTACTCACTACCATCACTAACATCAACATATACTCACCTGAAGCTTACTTGGGTGTCCTGCGTCCACCTTTGCACTTGAAAGCATTCCCAATAATTATATGCAAGTAGTATACATATGGATATACCATGATGCAATCTAAAACTCAACCATGTTGTAGCATTTTCAATTATAAACACTACGGTGTGAAATGTACAATCAATAACGCTTTACTCCCGAACTACTTATTTTCAAGGATAATTATCCATAATAACCCAATTAACACTAATTAACTAACTAATTCACAAAACTAAAACTTGTCTTTATCAATTTCCTTCGCATTACTCAATTTCCCAAATAAGGCTTTTGTCTCAAATATTTTATGGCTGCATCTAACCTCTCGTTAGACTGCCTACGTACCCTAGACAGGGATCAAGCCATTCGTAGTTCATATTGGTACTTCAAGCATTCACAATAATTATATATGAAAGTAATATGCCTAATCAATTTAAAAGTGTCGATAGAACTCTCAACAATATGTACGATAAAAAGGAAAATATGCACTCACCTGGAGTCCACGCTATGATTCTCTAGCGCACGCATCTAGGCGTCCTGAATGATTGGTCCCTGTGACCAATTATCAAATCACATCTCAGAACTCTTATCCGTAGAATATGTAATTCACATAAAACACAACCTCAACGACATTCTAAAATAGTTTGAGACCCATTGTCCACAAGTTAACCGTCGATCAAAGATCGACGGTAGGGTTTACAAACCTGTATAACTTGACCCGGAAGATCCGCATATCAGATTTCCAATCCACAACTCCCAACGATCCAAAATATGTTTCTACAATAACATATTAAAATTTCATTACGATCCAACGGTCAGATCTCCGCCAATTGCCTAAAACAAGTGGCCGTGAACATTTATTTTACTAACTTACAAATCCAATTCAGGAAGATCCGTAAGTCGGATTCCCGATCCATAAATTCCTGTGATCTTTAAATATTACGTATTATAATGTCTCCAGTTTTGGTGACGATCCAACGGTCAGATCATCGATTCACATTTTTATCAAGTAACGTATCGTAACGAATTTAGGTTCCAACTATCAACCTACGTCATTCAAATGACAAAACTGAATTCAAGACATTTAACATAGCCTAAAAATAGCATTGGCGGCCCACTGGCCACGCGCCGCCGCAGGTGGCGGTCGGCCTCCCCGACTCGCCGGAAAATCCAACTATTTCCAAAAATTCTCAAACTTCACAGAAATGAAGATCTCAGTGAGTGGAGCAACTTTCATACCTGCCACGAAGTCCAAAAGTGGACGGAAGATGGTCAATTTTGCCCACAAAGCCGATGGGTGCCTAAAACTTCCCGACGTCGATTCGTCGTCCACGGTGGTCCAATGGGGTCAAGGTTGGTTGGGTTTTGTTCCTGGGTTGATGGGCTACAAAGCCCAAGTGGTGGCATCGGCCATCGCTTTGCCGATTTGCCGGAAAATCGAAAAGGGTGGCCGGAGCACCATTGATTTTCGTCAACTTTCGTGGCCTCAAACCGCCTCATACCATGGTTAATCAAGGTGGTTCTTGGGTGGGTTTTGTAGAGGGGAATGAGAGCTTCAAGATGGTGGTGGTGGCATCGAAAAACTCGACCGGAGTTGGCCGGAATCGGCCTTGGAAAATGGATGGTCGTGCATGTCGGGTCACGGTTTTGGGGAAGCTTTCCCATTTTTTTTTTTTTTTCTCTTCTTTTCTTCTTTCTTTTTGATTGGCTGCCAACTTTACTTCTTCTTTCCTCCCTCCATTTTCTGATTGGGCTTCCCCCACAAAGTGGGGATTTAATTTAAATAAACATTAAACTTTGAATAACCAATTTCGAACGTCCGTAACTATACCGTTATAATCCGGACTCGCAAACGGCTTTCGCCTCTGCGTTCACATCCACGAGTATTATGAGAATATGTTAAAAGAATAAGCCATACGTCTCTCTAGACGATGCTCAACATAAGTCAAAGCCCTTGCCTCTAGGGCAATTTAGTAAATTCACGCTTTTAAAATAAAATAAAAACGTAAAATTTGGAACAGGTTGTCACAATCTACCCACCTTAAGAAAATTTCGTCCTCGAAATTTAAAATCATCAGTCCAAAGTAGAATACTCAAAATTAAAGAGATATATGTATGTAAATACATGCACGAGGAAGACACAAAGTGATAGCGACTCCATAAAAGAGGATGACATTCCGTCATGATCGGAGTGTAGTGACTCTTCTTTCATGCCTCCAAATTCCTACTATCCTCCCATAAACGTGTTCAAAGCGTAACGCACTTCGAAATTAAGTATGTAATAGTTTTGGGTCAAGCCCAAACAACAATTAACGAATTAAATAAGTAAGCACAAATATTAACGTAGAATAATCTACTTGTTTACTTGCTTAACAACCCAACGAATAAGTTATTAATATTACGGTCTGCACCCCGCAAAACCGACAATTCACTGTTGTCTTGATAAGCAAGTAACAATTCCCGATGGTGCAATATTACCATCTTGCCCCTCAATGGGAAATACACATACCAACCTCCATCGTACTCATTCACTACCTTCTGAGGCAACATCGTCAATAACATAAATTTTCTACATCACAATCTCAATCAAATATTTGTTCGCAATAATTTGCTGTAAATCACAAGCTGCACATACAATATTTGTATTATATCTCGAAAGATACCATACTCCTAAACAGGAATGTAACCGTAGTTACCCATAATTCTAACAAAAGTATGCGTCCATTAAATATGCGATGTGCGTAAAATCTCCATACATCAACTCCAATGATACCATAGTTAACCCAAAATTGTAACCGTGGTTACAAGTGACTAGAATAGAGATAAGGATATACTGCAACCGTGCTAATGGTGGGACAAATAAGATG